ACACATTTAAAGAACTTTAAAAAGAAGATTTTCAAATATCTTTGCTTTGCGTGTGTCTAGATCTTGTATTTAAATGTCCTATGCTGTTAGTTGCTATTCATCTTCAAACCTTGCACCAGATTCCCACTTTCTCAGGAAAGGATAACCAGGTGACACAATTAGTCAAGGAGATGTAAGAGCCTTTCTGGGAAACATTTTCTTCCTTTTTCTAAGAGAAAAATGTTCAGGGGGAAAAGATCCTTTCCCAGTTTGGCCCCTTTCTTGTTTAAAATATGGTCTTGTGAAGGCTGCTTGGCTTGGATCGTGGGGGTCATCGTGTAGTAAGAAGGTGACAGTCCCAGGGAGGAAATGCACAGGGAAGAAGGTGGCAGGTGAAAAGACAGAAAGACTGTCCTTCACGACATCCTTGAGTCACCATCAGGCCGGATCTCTTGCCAACCTTCAGACTTATGTGATGTGATATCATTATTTAGTACACAGGCCACTGTGAGTGGCTGCTCTGTGACTTGTGTCTGGAAGCCCAATTCACTACACGAATCCTAACTCATTCAACTTAACATGGCCCCCTTTTCTGAAACGTTGCTCCGGAACAAAGTGGAAGGTCAGAATCGAGTGCTTCTCAGTCTTCCAGGGAAGCGTCCCTACACAGCAGACGGCCCTCCAAAGGTGTTGGTAGAGAGATAGGGCTGAGCAGTGGCCTGCAGGCAGAATAGGTATTCTAATGCCCTCATGCTAAAAATGCACGTCCACGTTGTGTGCTGCTCGATTTAGTCCTTTCAGGCAGCGGACAACACTTACCGAGCCCCTGGGACGTGCTGAGAGGAGAACAGACGGGAGAGTGGAGGGCTGGAGGTGAGGCGTGGTGGGTCGAGAGACGAGCGAGCGGGGGCGCAGCCACAGGACCGCGAGGGCTGGGGTGGGTGCTCTGGGTGACACGTCTCCAATCGCTAACCCAAGCGGGTTCAGCCCTCTTCCCGCCAGCTCCCTGCCTGCAGCACAAACGGCCGGCCGCCCGCACGCCCAGGGAAGCCCAGGTCAATCACCACCCACGGGAATCTTCCGAATTTTCCCTCGGAGCCCGCCGCCTCCTGGTGTTTACAAATGAGCCTCTGTACAGCGGCACGATGAAATGAAGACAATTCACTACTTCATGCGAACCCACCGTTGCGGGACAGCCAGCAGGTCTCCCTGAGCAGAACGACCGCACTAAGCCTTCATCCAAACGTCTCCCGCGAGACCAGTGAAAGGCCAGGCCCCGTAACCCCCGCCCGGCCCGGCATGCACGCACGGCACAGGCCCGAGTACGTCAGCGGCGCGCAGGCGCAGCGCAGGCTGTTCCCGCGCTTTTTGGAGGCTGCCGGCGTCCGGGACGCGCCTCAGGTCGGCGGTGGTGAAGGGAGGCGCGTGGAGCCGGGGCGCCGCCGGCCCGCGTGAGGCCTCTGCGCCGGGAC